AGGTCGCGCACAGGCGGGCGCGTCGGAGCCGGTTCCGAGCGATGGGAGGCGCCCACTCTCAGACCCCGAGGGGCCCGGAGCCCACCGGGGAGAGGCCCCCGAGACCCCGAGAGACCGCGTGAGTCCCAGCGCCCCGCCCGGGCCGCCTGGGGTCGCCCACCGCGTGGCGCTGCTCGGGGCGGAAAGAGGGGGCGCCAGGGGCGCGAGCGCGCGGGCCGGGCTTGCGGGACTCCCGGGACCCACGCGACCCGACTTTCTCGGGGCTTGTCCAGGCGGGAGCACGCTCGCGTCCCGAAGGGCTGGAGACCGCAGCCGTGCGGCGCTGGTGGAGGGCGTGCGGACTCCGAAACTCAGCATTGGGCGGCTAGGGGACTAGGAGTTTGAACGCGGTGCCTGCAGCTCCCGAGAACTCCCTCTCTTGTTTGCTCGAGAGCTTCACGATGACCTCAGAAGAAGGGCTGTATTGTAGCAGCAATTAGGCTTTTGTTCCGAGACGGCAACAATTGGGGACGCCGAGTACTGTAATGCAGGCTGTGCGGGGAACAGAGAACGGGCTCCATGGTCACGCGTCTTGATAGAGCGAGGGCATGTTGATAACCCCTTGAGAAGTCAGGCTTTATTTTATTTTATTTTTATTTATTTTGAGAATTCAGGCTTTAAATGTTTAATTAAAAACTTTCAGACGAAGCTGGGCGTGGTGGTGCACGCCTGTAATCCCAGCCCTCGGGAGGCTGAGGCAGGAGGATGGCTGTGAGTTCGAGGCCAGCCTAGGCTACAAAGTGAGCTCAAGGCCAGCCTGAACTGCATAGCGAGACCTTGTCTCAAAAATACCGAAGAAGCAAAAGAAACAAAAAGAACAAACTTTCAGACGGCACGTGTCTAGCAGGTCAGGCCATGCCTAGGTATCCAGACTCTACTTTAATTCAGCGAATATCAGAACAGCTTAGTTTGAGAAAGACACACCCGTCACATAGGCAGGTTGGGCCCGGGGTGGGCTTTTTAATCATCTTTTCAATGCAAAGTAGCTTCCTGAGTATCCAGATACTAGAGATGTTATTTGTGCCTCCCAACAGCTACATACTACCAAAATAAATTTAACTGCATATACTGCAAACATGCACAATAAAAAAATCTGAATCTAGTTCAAGCAGCTTATTCCTGATAAGGATGGCTGAGATTTATTGCACGTGTAAGGTATACCAAATACCTCTAAATACTTGTCATTTAATGCCAAACAACACGGTTAGTTCCTGTTATTATCGCTGTTTTACCAGTGAGGAAACTCAAGCACAGAGAGGTCAAATCACTTGTCTAAGGTCACTCAGCTAGACAGTGCTGAACCCCAGATTATATGACTCTGGAGTTTATGAAGGAGCGGCCTTCCACCTGGGGGTTGGGACTATCCTAGGAAACAAATTTTTATTTTAGTTGGGAGAACACCACCCCCTTTTTTCCCTTAGTTTTCCCAAATAAGGGAGAAATCTGAGCTAGTAATGCTTAATACCTGAAAGATGAAGTTGTCAAAAGTCATTTAACTTTAGAAAGACAAACAGGAGAGAATGGAACGCCCAGAGGAAGTTAGGAGGTTTGGAAGCAGACCACTTCCAAGTGCTGCTTTTCAGCAGCTGGAGTCTTGCACCTTCCTGAGCGTCTCCTGTCTCATTTTGTGCATGTGTAAAATGGCAGTGATAGTACCTGCTTCATAGGCTGACATAGAGTGTGTGTCTGTGACTCACAAGTCACAGGCTTATCTCTGAGCAATACAGTGTATTGTTTTGGCCAAGGATGAAAGTTGAGAGCAGGGAATGTGCGGCTAGGCTCACTATGTAACTGGACGGTGAGTAGTGGGATCACTGGCTGACATCGAGCTGAAGAGACAAAGTCAGCACATGCAAAGCAGAGTGTTCAGCTGTTAGAATGTTAAACTATCAGTCAAATCCTCAGTTCTCAGGGTATTAATCCTCATTGTTTCCAGTGGTTTGGCAATATTCTCTTTCTCTGGTGAGGTTCTGTCTATACTGCACATATTTAGCAAAACTTGCCTAAAAATGACCAACATAAATCCCTATCTTTGGCCTAGGAGTATAGCCCTTCGTTTCTCAAGTGGAAGAAGATGTGCATAGGGCTCAACGGTAGAGCATTTGCCTCAAATGTACAAGGCCCTGGGTTCAACCCCGGTATCACAGAATGAATCAAACCCCATAAATGCATGTAGCCAGTGCTGAGTTTATTAATCTTATTGGAGCGTGCAGGCTTTTCTTCATGTACCAGGTAAAAGACCCTTTAGAAAGATGAGATTCCACAACTGCAAAAGCAAAAGTATGCATTTTATCCATGTCCTGCCTTGTTCACATGCACAAGCCACAGGTCTCTCCAGGGTCCAAGGAAGGGGGGATTCAGTGCTAATCCTGCTTGCTGCAGACTTCCTGCCGGACGTGTGACTGTCATGGATAACAGTGACCTCAAGGAAGTCCTCCTACTCAGGCTGGGCAGTTTTGAAATTTATTGTTCCTTTAAAGAATAACAAACATGAAAGTCCCATGAATAGTGTATTCATGCTGGGCGCTTCTCTTTTGAGGGAGAAATTATGTTTCAGAATGTTCAACCTCTGTTTCAAACTAACTTAATCAGGTACTAAAATGAACCAGATAAACCTCTCGTACAAGAGCTCTATTGTGAAGTATAAACAAGTATAGCTGTAAGTGGGAGGAAATATCTGATTTTAAGATAAAATTTATTATTATTGTAAAGTAGCTGCCAACCTTCTCTAAAGTCAAGGAAACGAATGTCCAGCTTTGGTAACAGCCGGGACAGACCTGTGTGTGAGAGAGAGTGTGTGTGTGTGCCTGCGTGGATGCACACTCACTGCATTTATTCAAGGAGGTGGTGCAGTGTAAAGAGAAAGGACAGAAACTGTGGAGTCAGGGAGACCTGGGTAGAATTTCAGCCAGATGCCTTATCAGCTTCCCAGAGGAAGCACTGAAAATACAGTTATTTAAACTCTTTTAAGTGTGTACATTTCTGCATCTTTGAAACAGCATTAATAACCACATCTACTTTAGGGAGTAGTGTATATTATTAGCACAGCACCAGCACTTCAGAAGGGCTCCCTACATGAACCGTTATTCACGAATGTATGCCTGTGTGGATCTATGACCTGAAACCTTAGCCAGGCTCTTTGGCAGGTGTGTCCGTGAGTGAGGTGGTGTCTCTTCTGAAGCAAACCTTGATTTATGTGCTAATTCTGCAAAGCTCTTTCAAGAAGAAAGGCAACCACCAGAATTAAAGTTTTCTTTTGTCTTTTCTTTCTCTGGCTCTCATTTTCTATATGTGGTATTGGGAATTGAACCCAGGGCCTGCACACTGAGCTACGTTCTCAGCTTTTTTTTTAAATTTCAATTTTGAGACAGAGTCTCATTAAGTTACTAAGTTGCCCAGGCTGGACTCGAACTTTTGATCCTCATCCCTCAGCCTCGTAGAGTGCTGGTATTGCAAGTGTGTGCCACCACCTCTAGCCACTTGAGTTCATTTTTTCCTCAGTTACTTTTCATTTTTTCAGAAGTTGTACTACCAAGAGGACGGAAGTGTATTTGGGGATATGGTAGTTTGGTGTAAATGTCTGAAATCACTAATTTCCTAGTTGATCATTTCCAGCTGTACGATCCAAATAGGTTTTCTAAAAGTAGTAAATAATTTGTAGTGAACTTCAGAGAACGGCATAAAGCAGAGCCTGTGATTCACAATTCAACTAGACCTCATTTAGGCTTGTCTGCCTGGGATGCAGTTGTCAATTCTTAGTTAATTTTTTAGACCAAATTTGTTTGCATTTAGAATTTCGTATATAGTGGAGTAGGTCAGTGGACATGTCAGGGGGAGTTTCTAAAGTCTTGTGTTGTTTTGCCTCCTCTGAAGGAAATCAGGATAGGGTGCCCTGGAGAGCAGCAAAGACCCTGACAGCCATGCTGCAGCGCCTCCTGGGTGGGTCCCTGATGTGGACAGAAAGGTGCTGGCCTTGAAGTTTTAGACCCAAGGAAATGCAACCGAAAACAAGGAAACTCAGGGAGCACCAAATCCTAAACCCACTGCTTTCAGATTCATAGTGTTTGCCGCCGTCACACTATACACTTTTGTTGGCATTAAAAAAATGTCAGATCTCATTTACCATAGAAGCTTTTCAAATGGCCATGTGAACGTTGTATACAATTAAAGAGAGAAATTAGAAAAAAGTTGGTGGAAGAGTTCCAGAAAAACCAGCTGTATGAAGAAAAGTTAAAAGACTGAGCAGTACTGAAGTTGGGGCAGTGGTTAAAAAGACGCAGAAATACGTACTTTTGAGGGGTTGTTGGCTGGCTCCATCTCTGGTGAAATCAGCCTAAAAGGAAATGATTTGAATTGCCTGAAAAGGGGATTATTTGTCTGTCTACATTAAGTGTAGACATCACAGCTTCTAGACCACGATGGTGATGGAGGTAGTGAAGAGAGTTCCAAAGGTAAACCAGGTGTGGCGGTCTGTACCTGTAGCGCCAGAACTCTGGGAGGCTGAGGCAGGAGGATCACAAGTTGAAGCCTATCTTTGAGACCGTGTCTCAAAGTAAAAAGGCTGGGGGTGTAGCTCTAAAAAAAAGGCAATAAGGTAAGAAGAATCCCTCCCTGAAAGGCATTAAAAAGTAAAGCAGGCCCTCATCAAGTTTGGCTGCTGGAAGGAATTCGGAGAGGTTAGCTCAACAGTTCCTTCCTCCCCTCCCTTAGCTTTAGTGGCCAACTGTGCCGAAGCCCTGTCCTTACCCCACAGCCTCTTCTGCCACCTGGCACATTTCAGGATTGAAAATCAAGAAGCTAAATGAAAAAAATAACTAAGGGCACAGCTGCTGGTGTTCTGAGCATGGGAAGTGGGTTATCTGAAGTCAGATTGGTCAGCTGCCAGCGTGGACTGTGTGTAGCTTGAATTGTTAACCCACAGCCAGGACACGAGCCGCACCATCCTGCTGGCCACAGAGGCCCCTCCCTTTTCTGACTGATGTGGGCACTTTTTCTTTTCCTGTTGTGGTGAGGGATATGTAGCATAAACATTCCCAACTTTAACCATTTTTAAGGGTCCAGTAATATTAAGAATATTGT